GTGCAGGTCGCCCATAAGGGTTAAAATATCGAATAAATGTAATTATATCCACGAATAAATTCATATCAAATCGAATGTAATAAATATTTCGGACATTCACCAAAGCATATCTGTGATTGTCGACATACACCGGTGTGGTGTGGGTCCGAATGTACAGGAATATAATGAAATATTCGATCTTTCACCGACGTATTTGGTGTTTGTCGACATTCACCGGTGAAAGTCAACAACCACCGATTTGGTCTTTCGCCGTGACATATATATATATATATATTTGTTGTGCTTTAAGGGAAAGGTAAAGTTCGCAAAAGAAATTATCTTACTTGTTAAGTTGGGGTAAAATGGTAACAAATGTCTGAAATCCATGCACAACTTCTAGACACTCGTCAAAGAACAGCACCGTTGACGCAGATGCAAGTCTGGACTTGTTTTCATGATCTAGGGGTGTGATGTTGTCAGCTTCACAAAAAGAACGCAATGTTTCTTCCATGAAAGGAAAAGCAAATGTGATGTGTTGTTTGCCAGGCCGAATGGAAAAACTTTTAATAGCCTGAAATATATATATATTCAAAAATTTTAATGCACATTTAATTTAGAACAACTTAAAATAACCAACATTGAAGTCGTTTAAATATTTCTTAAGCCTGATTTTGGTGATTTCGGTCATCCCCTTGTCTGCAAAGATAAGCAAACCACAAATCCCCTCCCTTGCTTACGTTAAAAACGTCTCAACACCCCCTTTTTGCTTTGACTTAGAACTTTTGTGTTGTTATCCAATATTAGGATTAAATATCAAGTAATTATGCAATTTTATATAAAACATAAAATTTTTTCAATTCCTGTTATAAAATTTTAAGAAAAATATTCTTTAGGAATCTTTTGCGATTTCCTTTTGTGGTTAAAACTTTTGACGTCCAAAACTCATAAAAGAAATTATTTTTCGACGTTTTCTTTCTTTAAACTTTACTTTTGTTTCAGATTAAATTTTTTTCAAAAGTTTTTGAAATTTTTTTTGACGCTTTAAAAAAATTTTGAAAATAATGTGATCTTAATGCTTTAAGTAAGCACATCCCAAACTCCTCCTCCCTACTTGGCTACAAAAGTATGTAAGTCACCTTCTTCAATTGGCTGTCTCATTTTTTGGTTTTGTTATGTTTTTCGTGATAAAAAAAAATGTGTTGAAACTTATTATTTGTTTCTAATTTTATCTATCTTAAATTATACTATTGCATTTTTATAACATTGATTCCAACATAAAATTTTAATTAATATACGGAAAATAAATGAATAATTCAAAAATATGCTTTACATTAGCGAATTTAAGCACGGAATCTTACAGTTTGCATAAAATAAAATGGAAAATAGGATGATGTTTTGATGCGTGAAAAAGAATAGAGAGTTACTCCCTTTATCAGCTTATTGTTGCTTACTCAGCTAAGGGATTGTTTTTCAACTTTTGATAACAAGCCAAGTGCATGACTCGGTGGCGCAACGGTAGCGCGTCTGACTCCAGATCAGAAGGTTGCGTGTTCAAATCACGTCCGGGTCAAAATACATACTTTTTTCTCAAGTCTTTGATGTATTCTAGTTCAAATTTTTTTTTAAATATTTTTTTTTCTAATATTTTTTTTTCCAAATGTGCACAGTGTCCACTTAGAATGTAATTTTTTTTTAAAATAACAGTAAAAAATTTTATTTCATAATTACTGCAATAGTTATTTTCCTTAAAAATATTTGCCGAAATAAAATTGTTTCAATATTAATTTTAATGTTAATTCAAATTCAATACTAATTTCGTTTTGTTGAATATTTTAATAAAAAATATATTACACGATAAAACTATGATAATAATTACTAAAACATTAATGCCTCATATCTTAAGGGTTTTTTAAAACATAAAATTCAATGCTGAATATAAAAATAACCATAATTTTATTTTCAACTTTGTTACTCAAAATTTTTTAAATAAATAAAAAAAGCTGTTACATAGATATTCCACAGAAATTTCAATTTTTTTTTTTTTTTTTTTTTTTTTTTTTTTTTTTTTTTTTTTNTTTTTTTTTTTTTTTTTTTTTTTTTTTTTTTTTTTTTTTTTTTTTTGAAAGGGAAAAATACAATTTCAAAGCATTAAGGTGTAAAATTAAATTATAGCTTAAATATTTCTTGCATTGACTGATATAAGAAAATGCGTTACAATAGAAAATGAAATTTCTACATTCCATAGATTAATGATGAATTAAATAAAAATTAAATTAAATTATGAACATAAAACGGTGAAAAAAGAAGAACATAGAACATATGAAAAAAGGTGCCCAAATCTAAATAAAAGCGATATTTAATTATTGACAAACAAAATGTGTTTTTGAAACATTGCTGTTTTGGGAAACATGGTCAAGAGGAGAGAAGCGAAAGCTAAAAATATATTTTTCTCCTAACTCTACTTTTCTGTGCAGTAACGCGTGATAATTTTACCAAAAAAAACATTTAAGACTATCACCGAAAACTTGCACAAACTAAATTAAAAGTAAGTATTTAAATGAACTTTCTAATAATACAAAATAGCATGGAATGTAATAAAATGAAACCATCATTTGGCGAAATTATTATTTGGTAATATTAACTTTTTTTATTTAATTAGAGCCAGTTTAATGATAGTAAAACGACAGAAAGTAAGAATATATCAAGTCTGAAAATAAAATTATTTAATTAAACAAGGAACTTAAATATTTTGCTCACATTTTTTCCTTGAAAATTTATCGATGTAAATTTCCTCAAAAAAATCTATATATTTTTATAAATATATATTCTGCTCAACCTCTAAAAATCCAGCCTCCATTAAATATGTTGGGCAACATTTGATAAAATTTTATCACTCAGAAAAGAGATATTTTAAAATCTCTATTTATGTTCATAAGCCTTTAGAAGGCGATTGTCTATGTAAGAATGTATTTCATTTTACCCTCATTGATTACAGTTTTTAAATACAGTAAAAAATTATAAGAAGGGTTAAANTGTAAGAATGTATTTCATTTTACCCTCATTGATTACAGTTTTTAAATACAGTAAAAAATAATAAGAAGGGTTTAAAATTTCATTCAATTATACTATTGGATTTTTTTCTCTATTTTGCATTTAAATACCTTCTTGAGCCTTGTGGAGTTTGTTACAAGTTAAAAATGAAGATAAAAATATGTGTCAAAAGTGCTAAAATTATAACGTTTTTATGTAATTAACTGAACTAATATAAAAAATTTAATCAAATTCAATTAATTGAAATTTTAAAAAAAAACATTTTTATTGCATTTAGGAGTTTACTTTCTTCTAAGTTACAAATTTCAATGCAAAATAGCATTTTCTGTTTTTATTTAAAGCTTATGTGTTAATAGGTTAATTAATTGTATGAACAGATTGTTTGTGATAATATTCATGAAAAGATCGCAGTTTAAAATTATTCAATTTTATTTTAAAGAAATATAAATGAACGTACCTGTTGGACATTATCTGGTAAGCAACCAACTAAAGCCATTGTAAGCATCTTGCAAAATGTGAGATCCAATTTAGAGAAGTTAATGGTGAAATATCAACCTGAAATATGAATATCACAATTAAAATTTAGTTAAATAGCTTAAGCATCAAACATTGTCTTTTAGATTGGAATAAATATATGAAATTGTGAAAATTAAGACTTAAGATATGTTATTTTGATAATAGAATTAAAGAGTTCTTTTCTTTCCTTTCGGGAAAAAAAATACAAAATACGAAAAACTAGAAAAGAAGTCTTAATAAAAATTTAAAAAAAAATTTTGATTATTCTTTATTATTCACAATATAAAATATAAATATTATTTTATTTAATAACTAAATATTATACGCTTTAAGATATTTAAAACAGAAAGGAAAACTAGAATGACACTGTCTTGATTTTCAGGCCGCCATCATCATCAACACTAGCATTATTTTTATTATCATTATTATTATTACTAATAATTTTATCTTTTGAGAATCTATTCTAACAACAACAACAAAATTCGTACATAATTAATTTATCAACTTTTCGATAATTGTGATGGACAACTAATACACCTAAATAATTGCAACCAACAATTAATAAACATGCATAATTATAACAAGCAACAATCAAACGAATGTAATTTCAACCAGCATTAAAAAAAACCTAGGTAATTACAACAAACACCTGATAAAACCTTGATAATTTCAAGCAACAACAATAAAAAACAGGTAATTTCAACCAACAATCAAAATACCTAGATATTCGTACCTAACAGGCAGCGTACCTACAGCTGTGAACTAAAAAATAATGTTATTATTATAGCAAATAAATCTACACAATCCCCGAAATATAGCTAAAGATTTTAAAAAAATTACGTTTTAAAGCCACGTTAAACTCAATATGTAAGAGGTTTGGTTTTGGTGATATTAATTAAAATAAAATTCTTTTTCAATATCACCAGCGAAGAAAAGGTATACTCCAAGAAAGTGATGTTTACTTCGAAAAAGATGTTCAGCATAAAGCTGAAATAATCACAGTATTTGCTAATTAGTTAAATTAAAAAGGATACAAAATTCATAAATCGATATTTTAAAAAATGTGTTATGTTTACAGCCAAGCACTACTGCATTCTACGTAAAAGACGTTTGTTTTAGAAGGTAAAAGCTGTTATAAACTATTATATTTGAAATCTCCAATAAATAAACATGTTTTATTTACCTCTTTTTAATTAAATTATTTTTTATTTTTAAAAGTTCAGAATATAAATGTTAAGATTTATATCTGACAACTGTCTTTCTTTGTTGCTTTTGAATTCAACTCAGGTGTGAGCTTATAAAACAAAGATCTCGAGAAATATATATAATTTTTTCTACAACAATATATAAATTATCATTATTTAAAGGAAAATAAAAGAAAACGCATTAAAAATTGCAATAACTTTCGTACAAATTGTGATTGAATAAAACTCATGCGAGTTCATATTTAAAAATGGCACTTTACGTGCATGAAATTTTAACCCTGCAGTTTCATTTCTGAGCAGAGTGGCTCGCACGTCTCGGGTCACTTTGCTCAGAATATAACTGAATTTTGATTTTTTTAATCGTACTTTTTGTGCATTTTTCTACAAATCTTCATAATAAGCTTTTCAGTCTTACACATTTTGCGCAGCTAAAAAAAAAAAAATCAAAATTTGGATAAATATAGTTTCAAGTTTTTGATAGGGAAATGAGTTTTTAGCTATGTTGGAGAGGAACAAAATAGGTTGGACATCCCTGATATAGAGCAGTTTTTTTCACGAAGAAATACTCTACCTCAAAAAATTGCTCTCTGGCCATTATAAAAATATAAAATGTGAGCCAAGACTTAAGGAATGAAAACACATTCTCCTACGTTGTAAAGCGATGTGGCTTAAGCGTATTATAGGTTTAATACTTTAGTACGATAAAAACGGATAATATATCCCAACGCTAGAATCCCCATGTTGCGGGGATTCAATTCGAGCTACGGACATATGTGATCACGAGATTTATTCTAGAATGAAAGCTTCGGCCTTTCTGATAAAACCCATCTCGAGCGATATGACGCTCCAGTCGAATTTCGAGCAGCTAAATAAGAGCGCCTCTGCTACACCAGGTGCTTCGATTCCCACGCAGACTCTTTCCGAAAATTGAATCGAAGAAAGATCGCGGTTTTAAACGATATTTACATGGAAAAGAGTATTTCTTTTTCTGCTGCATCTTATAGAGATGCATCTGGTTGTCTTCCTCTTTACTTCCTCTTGACAGATATTGTTTCTTTTTATAAAAGAAGCGCCGATTGCGGATATTCTTGGTATTGATTTATTAATGTTGGCTGCCTCTCACTCTGGTAATAAGATAAATGGATTGCCCAACAGCAAAATAGAGCTGGAGGTTTAACCCGCTTGTTTTGCCCCCTCACGCACCCCAATCGATTTCAAGTATCATTGTTGGCGATTTTGCTTTTATTCTGATTAATATATGAAGTGGATTTTAAATAATGAACTCGGTTGTTGAAATTGCTGTCATAATTAATGTGGTTGGGTGATTTCTATTCATTCTAAAGTTTTGAAATGATGGTTCAATTCACTTGAATTTCTTCCCTATTTTTCTGTCGAATAACTGAGCAATACGCATTTTGTTGATCCCCCTTCTACAATTCTCCGTTATTCGCTATTTTGACATCGCCTTAAGTGAAATAAATATCTACTGTAATATAGGACGTCCGAAAGTTATTGCGCTTTCAAAAATTTCCACTCAATCTGTAGATAAAAGCTGTCTTGTATAGATTTACAAATTAAGTCGGAATAGTTGCTTAAAATATCAGATGTAAATATGTGTCGATTATAGTTTTAGTCTTTTATATTCAATTTATGTGCATTAGCTTATAACAAAAAGCTCATTATAACGAGGATTCAATCTGATAGTGTAAGTTGTCGTTATAATGGACATTTACAGTAGACGAGCCCCACAGTGGAAATTTGCGAATAATATTGTTCTTCCACTTTTAACATGGTGTTGAAACATATTATCGTACTTCTTAAGCTTGATTAGTTTGGTTATAGGTTTGATTGATTTTGAAATTTTATTCAATACATTTTTCATACTTTTTTCTACTTTTTTCATACTTTTCATCAATTAAGGTCAAAATAAGTAAACAGTATTATATTTAACATTTTAAAATGATAATGAAATACAGTATGTAACACCGGTGTCTTTTTCTGCTTTAAAAGCAAAATCTCCCAAACACGGCCTACTTCCAACCAATAATTTTTTAAATTTGAACTTATTTGTAGTTAATTAGATCTAAGAAAACAGTTAATCATCATGTAAATTCTTTTAATTTTATAAAATCAATTATTTATAAATTTTTGAATATGAGTGAAAAAAAACTTTTTTCAACTACATTTTTTGGGGTTTTATATGTTATTACAAATATGAATCCGATAATCAAAGAGATTTTATTAGTAACTAGTAGGTTGCTTTTTATAAGTAAAAAATACAAATATCGATTATATATTTTTGCTGTAATCAGAGCGTCAGGGAGAATTAGAATCCACGAGCCATTGCTGGGATTCGAACTTGGTTCTTCTTATTAGAATGTAAGCGCTCTATCACATGTTTCACTGCGGCCCTCAATTAAAAATTAAAGAAAAACTAATATTAAAATAAATATTCATAAAACATAATTAAAGCTTCGATATGAATTACGTCAAATAATTTTTTTTTAAATTATGTTAAACCCTCTACAAATCATTATGAGCAAACCAAGTGTTTTATTTTAACCAAAGTATTATTATTACCCAATATGATTCTTTTTTATTAGAACTGGTATTTTGTAACCTTCTTTCTCAGACTTTAAGCCAATAATTTAAAACTTAATTCCACCACTGTGAGATAATATTTCTGTAACTTGCTAATTTAAAATAAAATTCAAGCTTCTAGAATAAAATCTACCATGTAAAGTGTATATTTCTTTAAATTTAGAGAAAAAAAATCACTAAAATGTTTTCGCTAAAATTGTTCATCTCATTTAATATTTTAGGAAATACTTACTGATGAATGCTAATTCATCAGGTAATTGCTTAGAAAAGTCAAAAATAAAATTCCAGAGAAGTTAATTCTATTAGGGAACAAAAATCAATTTTGGAGAGAATTAGTATACTATGCATATCACTATGGATATTCATAATACTAAGTTTACCGACATATTGTTGGTCAAAATTCAGCACAAAAAAATTATATTTCATTTTATATCCGTCGTTGAAAAGCCAACCCAATATTGGGTTTACGACTACTAATGTTCAACTCCGTAGCCTTGTAATTTTGAACCCAATCTAGAAGACAAGGAAACTCCTCGATCAGTACCTACAGAGGTATTGATTTGTTTTGGGAACATGGAGGACTTCGTAACTGGACAGATTTTAACGTGCATCAGTCACCATTTACTAAGAGGGGAGTCTTCGGCCAGCGGGGATTGAGCCCACGAACTGTTGGACATGGGCCCAGCTCCCTACTGACCAGGCTATCCCGGCCCCCTAATGGCAAATTAGAGAAAAAAATCCTTAATCTTAAAAAAAAAGTGTAGTAAGTACCGATTGTGACGCTTATCGTCACTCAAAATTAAAATCAAGAGAAAGGGCTAAAATTAGATTTCTAGAACATTTCAAAGTCTTCGATTAAATAAAACTACCGTGGGAAATCTCCATCGGCAAATAGTAACTTAAATACGGATAAAGTAATTCAAATTAGGTTTTCAACAATTAGGTTTTCAACAAAACAATTAGGTTTAAATCTTACAATGTCACCCCCATCATGGGACAAACTCGAAAACAACAATAACTTTTGGACTTGACCTTTCCTCAGATTTGCAACTTTTTATCACCCAAAAAAAATACGATATAAAAGCAGCCGAATGAAAGGGTTGAAAAAGCAATCAAAAGAGCAATCAGCCAGAGTGAGTAAAGGCTGAAACCGAAACCATGACTAAACTTTGTAAGTCTCTCTCTCTCCATCTATTCTAAAAGCACGCAAGAATTAATGTTAAATAATAAGTTGGTTTA